ACACAGTTCTGGTGTCCTCAACATAAGGAGGACATGGAACTCGGCTCAGAGGGAAGACAGGACTTCCACTGTTCATGTGATTTCTGGGCAACTTGGAGGACAGAGACATTCAAGAGAAGGTTTCATGAGGACCTCATAGCAACCTTCCAGTATCTGAAGGAGGCCTGCAGGGAAGCTGGAGAGGGACTCTTTGTTAGGACCTGTAACGATAGGACAAGGAGTAATAGGTAGGAATTCAAAGAGGGAAGAGTTAGTTTACATATTAGGAAGAAATTATTTACTGTGAGGGTGTTGAGACACTGTCCCAGGTTGCCCAGGTATGTGGTGGCTGCCCCAACCCTGGCAGTGTTCAAGGCCAGGGTGGATGAGGCCTTGAGCAACCTGGTCTAGTGAGGAGGTGTTCCTGCCCATGGCAGGGGGTTGGGACTAGGTGATCTGTAAGGTCCATTCCAACCCTTAAATTCTATGATTCTAGGTATAAAAAAGTCCCACAATGAATATTACAAAGTCTGATGAACCTCTCTAAAGGTGCAAGGTGGGGTAAAGCAAGTAAGACTGGTTAGAACAAATAAACCAGTCAACCCAACAAAACCCTGAGTTGGCATAGCCTGAGCTGTGATTTCTCAACACCTCAAGTGACAATACAGAGGATTAGAAAGCCTCCCTTCCAATGTAGAAGCATTCACTGGGTTAAGTGCTAGCAACATAAAACTCTATCAAGTTAAATTCTGTGTTTATACATGAGAGTGATTTTCCTCCTGCCAAAGGGACTCAGATTCCACCATTTGCTTGGGCAGAACACATAGGCTATGCCCAAGGTGAGCCAGAGCCACTCCACTGGTGAACAAACACTCACCAAGAAAGAACAAAACCCGTAGTTTTCCAAGAAAGGCAAGCCTGCAAGAAAAGGGGAGAAGATGCAACAACAGCTCTTCAAACCTATAAAAGCCACTGCAAATAGGAAATTACAGACAAGACTGTCAATTGAAACAAGAAGCCAGGTTGGACAGGGCTTGGAGCAACCTGAGCTAGTGGAAGTTTCCCCTAACCATGGCAGAGGGTGGAACAACATGAGCTCTAAGGTCCCTTCCAACATAAACCTTTCTGTGATGATGATTCTATGACAAAGAGAGAACTAAGCTGCTAAAGGAAGTTGTTTTTAATAGTGCCAAAATTTTTACAGTTAATGGTTTATAAGATTTTTGGAGTCTCCATGACAGAACATTTAAAAACCAAGTCCAATACACCTCTTGCAAGCACTTTTAGTCCTGCTATTTGCAATCAGACAAGTCAGACTTTCCAACACGGACACTTCTTCTCTGTGCTAAGCATGACCACACTGTGGAACAGAACTGAAGGATCTCTCTCCCGCACTCCCAGGCTTCTTGCTCTACTTCTCCCAGGTTCTGCTCTACCAAATTCTGAAGGAGCTGTGGGGTAGGACACATTTAGCTGTGTATTTGTCTGATGCAACGAGTCAAATGAAGTAAGTTCCCTCCACCAGCTAGTAAAGTGACACAGCCTGCACTACATAAATGCCAGTTCTTCATCCCAACACATGATTTACTTTGCAATGTTTGTGAACAAATTTTATAGTGAAGGGCACAGATCCCTTCAGCTTCCAGACACAAATACAGTCGTTTTTAACCTTTTACCAAGACATCCCACAGCCACACTATTAGGGGAAGGGAGAGAGCACTCAAGGGCAAGGCAGGGAGATAAAAGGGATCATTATCCAATGGATTTCACATGGGTGCACCTCACCAGTTTGATTAGGTAGCTGATTTGCATTAATTAAGTCAGAGGCCCTGCTGGGGCTTCTGCGCATGGCAGAATCACAGAATCATTTGGGTTGGAAATGACCTCCAAGTGACCAATCACCACCTTGTCAACGAGACCAGAGCACTGAGTGCCGAGTCCACTCGTTTCTTGAACACGTCCAGGGATAGTGACTCCACCACTTCCCCAGGCAGCCCCTTCCAATGCCTGACAGCCCTTTCCCCATGAAGAAATTCTTCCTCATGTCCAACCTAAACCTTCTCCAAGGCTGCTTCTTCTCATCCTGTCACTTGATCCCTGGGACCAGAACCTGACCCCACCTGGCTGCCCCTCCTGTCAGGAAGTCATAGAGAATAACAAGGTCCCCTCTGAGCCTCCTTTTCTACAGGCTGAGCCCCCACAGGTCCTTGTGCTCCAGACCCTTCCCCAGGTCTGTTGCCTTCTCTGGACATGTTCCAGCCCCTCAATGTCTGTCTGGTAGTGACAAGCCCAGAACTGCCCCCAGGATTTGAGGTGCCTCACCAGTGTCAACACAGGGGAATGGGCACTCTCCCGGTCCTGTGGCCACACTGTGGCTGGTACAAGCCAGGAGGCATTGGCCTTCTTGCCCACCTGGGTACACCTGGGCTCATGTTCAGCTGCTACTACAAGCACACCCAGGGCCTTTCCCACCCAGGAGCTTTCCAGCCACTTATTACATCCTATATATGTGGGCAATAAAAAAGTTCTTCTCATCCCTGCCCATCGATCCCAGTCCCCCAGCCACACTGATACAAGCTGAAAGTGGAAGAATTAAGTCTGAAACACTTCAAGAGAGCCCAAAAAGCTGCGAGGTCAGCAAAGGAAGCAATTACAGGTGGAAAACCAGACAAACCAGATCTTAGACTGGACATAGGAAGAAATTCTTCAATGAAAGGATGGTCAAGCACTAGAACAGGCTGCCCGGGGATGTGGTGGATTCAGCATCCCCGGAAGTGTTCAACAATGTGCAGATGTGGCACTTGGGGACATTGTTTAGTGGTGGGGTTTTCAGTGCTGAGGTAGTAGTTGAGCCCTGTGATCTTGCAAGGCTTTTCCAACCTAAATACCCACCGGAGCTTCCCAGAAACACCCAGGAGAGGGCAGCATGTGCCAGGAAACCGACTGGCACCAGGAACAAGCTGAAAAACCTCTAAAGGAAAAATCAATGTAGGCATGTGACACCTGCAAATCTGTGTGAGGCTGGAGAGCACAAGCTCTTTGCTACTTGGGCATTGGAAAAAGTGAGGAAAGAATCGGCTTTAAGGTTCATGGACTAGTATATCTGAGTTTGGCCTGGGATGCAATTCCAAAAGTGAAGACACACTGTTGGCTCCCTGCAGTGTCTGTCCAGTTCCCATCCATACAATCACAGAATCCTAGAATGGTTTGGATGGAAATAGATCTTAAAGCTCATCGAGTTCAACCCCCTGCCACCTTCCTCTAGGTCAGGTTGCTCCAAGCCCCATCCAACCTGGCTTTGAACTCTTACAGGGATGGAGCAGCCACAGCTTCTCTGGGCAACCTGTGTCAGTGCCTCAGCACTCTCATAAGGAACAATTTCTTCCCAATATCCCTTCTAACCCTGCCCTCTGTCAGCAAGAAGCCATTCCTCATCGAGTTCAACCCCCTGCCACCTTCCTCTAGGTCAGGTTGCTCCAAGCCCCATCCAACCTGGCTTTGAACTCTTACAGGGATGGAGCAGCCACAGCTTCTCTGGGCAACCTGTGTCAGTGCCTCAGCACTCTCATAAGGAACAATTTCTTCCCAATATCCCTTCTAACCCTGCCCTCTGTCAGCAAGAAGCCATTCCCTTGTCCTGTCCTGTCACTCCAGGCCCTTGTTCAAAGTCCCTCTCCTGCTCTCTTGGAGCCCCTTTAGGCACTGGAAGGGGCTCTGAGGTATCCCCAGAGCATTCTCTTCTCCAGGCTGGACACCCTCAGCTCTCCCAGCCTGGCTCCATGGCAGAGGACATCTCTCTTCTCTCTGGCACTGAGCCTTTCCTGTCTTCCTGAGTGACACTACTGCAAGCTGTGACAGAAGATTCATGTCTGTCCTGCACTTCTGGAGTTAACCTAAGAAAGTATTATGCCCAAATCTGCACATTTTAAAAAAGAGTTATAAAGAAGGTCTTCCTAGGCTGCCCAACATATTCCCCTGGTCTCCTCATTCAGCTGAGCAAGGTATGAGCACAAAATTGGCACAGGATCTGGTTTGATCAATGCTCTAATAGCCCAGCACCACATGAAGATTCAGAAGCAAACTCCAGGAGCTGGAGCCTATGATCCTTGTGGGTTCCTTCCAACATAAGATATTCCATGACTGTGACTCAAATCAGCAGTTGATTGCATTGTAAGATCTTTTCAGCATTGTAATATTACTTTTTAGCAACTTCTCAGTATCTGAAGGGCCTACAAAGGAGTCGGAGAGGGACTCTTTGTTATGAACTGCAGCGACAGGACAAGGGATAATGGTTTCAAGCTGAAGGAGGGAAAGTCTTGGTTGGATGTGAGAAAAAAGGTTTTTCCTGTGAGGGCAGTGAGACACTGGCACAGGTTGCCCAGGGATGTGGTGGCTGCCGCGACCCTGGCAGCGTTCAAGGCCAGGCTGGATGAGGCCTTGAGCAACCTGATCTAGTGAGGAGGTGTCCCTGCCCATGGCAGGGGGTTGGGACCATATGACCTGTAAGGTCCATTCCAGCCCTTGAATTCTATGATTCTATGATATTCTATGATTCTATGATATACTATTGCTTTCTTTCTCTCTCTTCTCTCTCACTCTCTATATGCATATCTTTATACATATATGCATTTACATAGAGTACCTTTCTCTCCAGCACTGCTCTGGGAACATAGGTAGCCCCACTAGCAACACTCAAGAGCTCCACTGGAAGACAGTTAATCCTGGAGTACTTGCAAAGAAGTAAAATCAAATCAGATTATATTCCAGTAAGGCATTTTCCACTGTCTTGAGTTTGACCCCTTCATACCCAATCAGGCAGACAAGGACCTTGAACAAAACCCACTTTAAACCCGTCTGGAGTCTCCTGTCTAATCAATCAGCAGCAGCATGCTACACCATGTTACAGTGTCAAGCACAAATGTTACAAAATAGGAATACACCTTTAAAAACCCAAGGCTTTGAGCATTATCCCTGAGATCTGCAGCTAAGTAATGCTCAGTGGCTGGATGACAGCACACTTACTAAAGTCTCAAATGATGGAAAGAAACATCATCCTGCTCCAGCCATGGCCCCTTGTCAAACTTCAGGTACTCGACATCTTCGATGACCTGCAATCAGAAGAGAAAGGTCACACTAAGAGGAGTTTGATCAAAACAACCAAAAAGCAATGAATGAATCACAACAGATTATTAAACAAATGAAAAAGGCTTCAGTGACAAAGTTTTATTAGCAAGGCAAATGTTTAGAGAAAACATCAGCATCTCCCAGTCCCATTTCTGGAGGTTGTGGCCTTGCCACAAGAAATGGACAGAAAGGTAGGGCCCAGCTCTGAATATCCTGGTGCTTCCAGCCTGGCTGAGAGGTACCTTATTTCCAAACACCTGATCCAAGACATTCTTCCTCAACCTGCTGTTGGGGCTGAAAAGCCCTCCTCTGAGGGAGAATGAGGAGGATGTGGAACTAAGTTTGAATTTAACCCATTTTGTTGCCAAAAAATCACCATGCTACATAGGGACCATTTTGGTTGTTGGTTTTATTTCCAGAGAGGCTCAGTGGCACGTTAACTAAGGCAGGCTGAAGGGCAGTTGTGGCAGACACCTCTTGGTGTTGTGCTGTGTGGTTCACATCACAGAAACAAAGGCATGTTTCAGACTGGAAAACTCAAACAGACTTGGAGTAGCTGCACTGATGAGTCCAAAGGGTCAAAATTTGAACATCCAGCAGGACCTACTCATGCATGGATACACTCTCAGCAGAAAGGAAAGGTAACACTCACAGCTCAGCACCCAGAACCATTCAAACAAGTAACACCAACTCAGTAAATCATTCCTTCAGCATCCCCAAACTTATCAATCCCAGATTTGAGCTTCATTTACAGCCCGGCTCCACCAGAAAATAGGTATTTGCTGGTCTACTGGGTAATTGCTTATCACAAGCCTGAGGTTATCACATGGCTGGCTGGACCTGAAGGAAACCTGAACTGGTGTCAGCAGGATGCACTTCAGGTGCACGATGAGGTGGAGATAGCACCTTCAAGCAACCTGGAAGGAGTGAGCTCCAAGCATCACTTTTCAGCAGCCTTTTCCAGAAGGAAAGGGTAAACCTATGAGGTCAGGCCCAAAATCCTGAAGACACATTGTCAAGCCACTGACAAGTAAGCAGATGTCAGTAATAAAGTGGTAGAATAAGACATGAAAAATCCTTGTATTCTTTATATTAAATCCACTATAATAATTCCCTGAATAATCACAGCAAACTCTGAATCCCCATCTATTACAAGTTAAAAGGCACTAACAAAGTGAAATGGCAAAGTAGCATCAACTACAAAGGTCACAGAATCCCAGACTGGTTTGGGTTTGAAAGAACTCCAAAGCTCATCTCATTCCAACCCCTGCCATGGGCAGGGACACCTTACACTAGTCTAGGTTGCTCCAAGCACCATCCAACCTGGCCGTGAACACCACCAGGTATGGAGCAACCACAGCTTCTCTGGGCAACCTGTGCCAGTTGCTCACCACTCTATCACCAGTGTTGTGTTTTCATGGTAAGAAATAAGGGCTGACACACACGACCATTATATTTCTTAAAGACTAATTCTGCAGATAAAGACTTAAAAAATACAGTTGAAATGACATCACCAAAGCATATTTAAATTTCAAGCATGTTTAAGATACATCACTGAATCATAAAGGTTGGAAAAGATCATCAAGTCCAACACTTAACCCAGCACTGCCAAGGCCACCACTACACCACATTCCCGAGTGCCACACAGACATGTTTTTTGAAGGTTTCTAGGGATGGTGAGTTCATCACTGCTGTGGGCAGCCTGACAGCCCTTTCAGTGAAGAAACCTTTCCTAATATCCAATCAGACATTCTTTAATGCCTCACAAAGGGGCACTTGCACACCAGATACTGCACCTGTGAGCACAGAGAACTTAATTGAAAAGCTGAACCTCCACCACCCTTCTCATCAGCTACACAACAGCAACTCCTCTAACAGCAAAGCTTTGGAAACGTAGCCCTATGGCTGATGACAGGACTAAACATACAGTTGCTCCAATATGGCTCAGAATATATTACAGGGGAAAGAGGAATCTGAATCCAAATTAGTTTTGCTCACTGTTACTATAATATCTCTCCCAGTAACTGCTTAACAATAGTAACAGCTTCCCAATCAGCAGAGAAAAACAGCTTCTTAATCTATAAGGAATGCCCCAGCACCTCCTGGGAATTAGCACCAAACAGAATCATAGAATCAGCCAGGTTGGAAAAGATGTCCAAGACCATTGAGTCCAACCCCACCATGGTTACTAGATCATGGCACTAAGTGCCACATCCAGTCTCATCTTCAAAACCTTCAGGGACGGTGAAGCCACCACCTTGCTGGGCAGCCCATTCCAATGCCTGATCACTCTCTCCATAAAAAATCTCTTTCTAATATCCAACCTAAACCTCCCCTGGCAGAGCTTGAGTCTGTGCCCTCTTGTCCTCCTGCTGGTTGCCTGGGAGAAGAGACCAACCCCCACCTGACTCCAACCTCCTGTCAGGGAGTTGGACAGGGTGATAAGGTCTCCCCTGAGCCTCCTCTTCTCCAGGCTAAACAACCCCAGCTCCCTCAGCCTCTCCTCATGGCACTTGTGCTCGAGTCCCTTCACCAGCCTCGTTGCTCTTCTCTGGACCTGCTCCAGCACTTCAATATCCCTCCTGAACTGCGGGGCCCAATATCCCTCAAGAGGATACACCCGTGTAAGAACACACCTTACAAGTCAAATTCCTCCTGGCAACCCTTATTTCCAAATTTCAACTGTGTCATTCCAAAGGCAAAATGAATCTGAACAGAAAAGAGAGGAAAACCATCTTTATTCTTTCAAGTAGAAATACCAGTATCTATCCCCAGCATCCAACGACGACAATGATAATACCATGCATGAAGGCTGGACTTGATAATCTTGGAGGTCTTTTCCAACCTTAATGATTCCATGATTTTGTACTTCAACTTCCAAATAGTAATCCTCCCTGTAGTCCAGATTGGTCCAACCAAATTAAGAACTCCATCAGTGCATCTGATGACCCTATTTATAGAAATGCCACGTAATTGCCAAGCTCAGCAGACTCTCCACTTGAAGAACAAGAGCTTTAGACTGACTTTAAACCCTGATTTAAAGGATTAAAGCCAAATCCTCTAGCAAAGGGGTTTGCTACAAAAAAAAAATCTAGGCAGGAAACAAGCTGCTTTATTCTGACCAGTTTAAGATGTGTTCAGAGAGAAGGACAGGGAGAAAACCAGCATCAAATGCATGGGCTGCACCCAAAGGAGTGTGGACAGCAGATCAAAGGAGGTGATTCTTCCCCTCTGCTCTCGTGAGACCCCACCAACATCTGGTGCCCTCAATGTAAGAAGGACATGGAACTGTTGGAGCAAGTCCAGAGGAGGCCACAAAGTTGCTAAGAGGACTGGAGCATCTCCCCTATGAGGACAGGCTGAGGGAGTTGGGGCTGTTCAGCCTGGAGAAGAGAAGACTGCATGGAG